CGGGATGGGGCTCCTGGTCAGATGGATGGAATCTCTATAGACCACTGCAACCCCGCCTCCCCGTCCTCCGGATCTCGGTTGGTGCTGTACGGAGAAGCCTGGAGGACAAAGCTGGGTCAGATTCACACCCCCAGCTTCATCCAGCCAGGTCTCCGTAATGCACGCCAGATCTGCCCGCTCATCCAGGATTAAATCCTGGATAAAGGTCGTTTTTCCGTTGACAGATCTGGCGTTCAGCAGCACCACCTTCAATCCAGAGGGCCCGCTCACCTGGTTACACCAATTTACCTTAGGAGACCGATTTGGGATTATTAATGTTGATAAGTGGTCCGAATTAGGCCGAATTCGAGGTCTCCTTTTTCCGCATCTCCTCCTCCCCACCACGACCTCTATGGGGGCCCCTCGGCTAGTGGAACACCTCCCCCCCTCCATGCCGCAGTCCCAAACCGGGGTCTTAATATCTGTTTCGCCAGATGTTTGGTTTGTTGGCCCCAATACAACAATTGTATTGTGCCCATCTTTTAATTAAAGCACAAGATTTCAACTATTCCACCAAAAGATTTTTCTCCATATGTATTTTCTTTCAAATATTTTCTATAGAATGTGGCATAGGTTCACTTAATGCTTTTGCAAACTATCCACTTGGGATTTTGTGAAAAACAATCATGTATAACTAAAGGTAAAGGTTTCTCCTTAACATTAAGTCTAGTTGTGTTCGACTGTGGAGGTGGTGCTCATTTCCATTTCTAAGTGAAAGAGCCATCATTGTCTGTAGACACCTCCAAGATCATGTGGCCGGCATGACTGCATGGAGTGCCATTACCTTCCCACCGGAGCAGTACCTATTGATCTACTCACATTTGCATGTTTTCAAATTGTTTGGTTGGCAGAAGCTTGGACTAACAGCAGGAGCTCACCCCGCTCCCCAGATTTGAACCACCAATCTTTCGGTCAGTAAGTTTAGCAGTTCAGCAGTTTAATGCGCTGTGCCACCGGGGGCTCTAATCATACATACACATACACATACATATATACAGCCAAGAGTTGGCTTTTTCTCAGTTGTCTCTCTCAGTCTCTCTGGTTCTTTTCTTCAGCTTGTGTGCCAAATACATGATGTTGTGTTTACAGAACATCCCTGAAATCCTTGGGAACTGCAGATGCTGCCTTCACAGACCTATTCTATCCTTCATATTCTATTGAAAGAACATAATTTATTAACTGTCATGTTAGTTTGAATGAATCTATCACCCAATAACGAAAGACCAACTGTAACATGAATCTTGCTCCAGGATTTTGGATTCATATGTTTCCATTCCCATGCCTTGTAATTTGGCTTGTATTTGCTAATACACATCATTTGTACAACAATCACATTTTATATGGTAAATTTTTGAAGGACAGGCTGTGTAGTCTTATTACTGATTTTTGACAGTAGAAAAAAATGGTTCCTTGGAGTCTGCAACAGAAAAATTGCGGAGAACACATAATCTGTCAGAAGAATACATTGATTAGTATATTATTCATAGGGTATGTATCTAGCCCCCGGTGGCGCAGTGGGTTAAAGCACTGAGCTGCTGAGTTTGTTGATCGAAAGGTCGCAGGTTCGATTCCGGGGAGCGGCGTGAGCGTCCGCTGTCAGCCCTAGCTTCTGCCAACCTAGCAGTTCGAAAACATGCAAATGTGAGTAGATCAATAGGTACCGCTCCTGCGGGAAGGTAACGGCGCTCCATGCAGTCATGCCGGCCACATGACCTTGGAGGTGTCTACGGACAACGCTGGCTCTTCGGCTTAGAAATGGAGATGAGCACCACACCCCAGAGTCAGACATGACTGGACTTAATGTCAAGGGACTACCTTTACCTTTACCTTTATGTATCTAGCAAGGATTCTTGAAGAAAATATGATAAACTGTCAAGAGTGGCATTTGATTGTTACAATATCTGAAAAGCCAAACTACATATAGCAATCATTTCTATAGCTGGGATTGACATGGTAATGTTTACGTGCCATTACGTTAGCATTCTCATCCCCTCCCCCTATCCCATACTTTTGTCCATTGAGGAAGATGTTATTCACTTCCTCATAGAGCCGGACTGGAAAACCAGTATACTGTAGGCATGACTGATGCATTGAATTTATTTAATGCCTTTACACTGGTGTGCTTAGTGACCCAAATCCGCATTGCACAAAATAATCAGACAATGCCAATGGAAAGATAATGGTTTTACGGTAAGAGAAACTGGAGATAGAACAAAAAAGGGCTAGCCCTTCTTTTTCTGATGATAATTTGCCTTGTCCAGTGGTCACAGCATGGAGTCCCGGAGCATTTGTTGTAACCTGTGCTAACAGCACACAAATAGTTCTTTGAACTACTAAATAAATCTTGTATTGAGCTGGAGGCTGCAATCCTTTCTACTGATATACTCCAAACTACCTTCTTTTTGGCTTATTGCTAAGGTTTCACATATTCAGTTCTATATTATTGTTATGTTTAGTAACATATTCACAGTTTGTCTGGACATTCTGTTGCGATCTGTAATAGTGTTTCAGCAGAAATCTATCCATATTGTTATCCCTTCAAAGGCATCCAAACAGTTAAGATTGCAACATGGAAAAATTGATTGTGCATAATAACTTTGAGAAGTGTTTTTACTAGTAAAAAAAGGTAAAGGTAGTCTCCTGACATTAAGACCAGTCATGTCTGACTCTGGGGTGTGGTGCTCATCTCCATTTCTAAGCCGAAGAGCCAGCGTTGTCCGTAGACACCTCCAAGGTCATGTGGCCGGCATGACTGCATGGAGCGCTGTTACCTTCCCGCAGGAGCGGTACCTATTGATCTACTCACATTTGCATGTTTTCGAACTGCTAGGTTGGCAGAAGCTAGGGCTGACAGCGGACGCTCACGCCGCTCCCCGGAATCGAACCTGCGACCTTTCGATCAACAAACTCAGCAGCTCAGTGCTTTAATCCACTGCGCCACCGGGGGCTCCTTTTTACTAGTAATGGACCCAAAATTTGTTTCATCCATGTTTCCATTTCTTTCCTTCCATTTGGATGGTACGAAACGAGAAGGCCCCTCTGGAACAAAGATAAAACCAATATGAAAGGCTGGCAGGAGTGGGTACCATCTCCAAGCCTGTTTTTTGGAACAATTGCCATGTGTAGGCCCAAAGCTCTGGGGCCTGGCAGGTTTTCGGTCAGGGTCCTGATCCGTTTTGACTGAGCTTTCTGAAATTGGGAGGTCAGATTTCTTTGTTTTCGGTGCCAAAAGAGCCATTTTCTTTCAGCCCATTTTGTGTGTGTGTGTGTGGGGGGGGGGACTTCACCTGTAGGCCTAAAATGCCCGGGCCTATGGGTGCAGGCTTTGGGTCTATGCGCCTGTAGCCAAGCACCAAGTAAGGAGCACTCCTTACTAAGTGCTGGGCTGCAGTCCCATAGCCAGGATTTCGGGGGGGGGGGGAATTTTTTCAGGGGGGGTTTCGGGGGGGCTGAGTTTGGGGGGGGGCTGAGTCTGAGTGAAAGAGGGTCTAGCCTAGCAAACCTTTTGTATCATTACCCCAATACCCCCATGCATATGGGATATAGTGAGTATGGTGATCAGATCATGATATGAATAAACATAACAGTTTAAATAATGCACCAGTAAGGCCTTTTCGCGAACCACCATGAGAATTTCGGGGGGGGGGGGGCTGAAGCCCCCCAAGCCCCCCCCCCCGGCTACATGCCTGCTGGGCTGCGGGCCCTGCCAGGCCTGGATGCGTAATCCCAAAGCCTGCACCCGTAGGTCCAAAGCACCCAGGTCCAAAGCACCCAGGTGCAGGCTTTGGACCAAAGTGCCCGGGCCTGCAGCTGAGCACCGAGTAAGGAGCATTCCTTATTCGGCGCTTGGCTGCAGGCGCCCTGGTGCTTTGAGCCTACGCACCCAGGCAGGCCCGTAGCCAGGATTTTGTTTCATGGGGGGGGGGGGGCTGAGTTTGGTTCGGGGGGGGGCTGAGTCTGAGTGAAAGAGGGTCTACCCTAGCAAACCTTTTGTATCGTTACCCCAATACCCCCATGCATATGGGATATATTGAGCATGGTGATCAGATCATGATATGAATAAACATAACAGTTTAAATAATGTACCAGTAAGGCCTTCTCATGGACCACCATGAGAATTTTGGGGGGGGGGCTGAGGCCCCCAAGCCCCCCCCCCCCCGGCTACATGCCTGCACCCAGGCCTTGCAAGGCCTGCAGCTGAGCACTGAGTAAGGAGCGCTCTTTACTTAGTGCTTGGCTGCAGACCCTGCGAGGGCCAGGTGCATAGGCCCAAAGCCTGCACCCATAGGCCTGAGCACTTTGCACCTACGGGTGCAAGCTTTGCGGCTATGCAACCGGGTCTGGCAGGGTCTGCAGCCCAGCACTTAGTAAGGAACGCTCCTTTCTTGGTGTTTGGCTGCAGGCCCTGCCAGGCCCGGGTGCATAAACCCAAAGCTTGCTGCACCCATAGGCCCGGGCATTTTGGCCCTGCAGGTGAAGTCCCCCATCCCCCCCCCCATGGGCTGAAAGAAAACGGACCTTTCGGCACCGAAAACAGAAAACAAATATCTGACCTCCCAATTTCAGAAGGCTCAGTTGAAACAAATCAGGGCACTGACCGAAAGCCAGGACATGAAACAGATCAAGATTTACCCCAAATGCACATCTTAATAATATAGATGTTTGCATGTAGCATGCCAGTTTTTTTTATTTTATTGTAAAATGATGGACTCCCCTCTGTCTTTATGTTTAACTGGAAACACAGTGAAGAAAATAATAATATGCAGTTTGGCCTTTTTGGAGGCATCTAAATATCAGTATAAATGCATGATTATGGCAAGAGTGTGAATCATGCAGTTTTTCGGATTTTGGAATCATGCAGTTTTCGGATTGCAACCTGCGGTGGCGCAGTGGGTTAAACCCCTGTGCATAGTCACCCAAAGGCCTGGAGCCTCCGGTGGCGCAGTGGGTTAAACCCTTGTGCTGGCAGGACTGAAGACTGACAGGTCACAGGTTCGAATCTAGGGAGAGGCGGATGAGCTCCCTCTATCAGCTCCAGCTCCTCATGCGGGGACATGAGAGAAGCCTCCCACAAGGATGATAAAAACATCAAATCATCTGGGCGTCCCCTGGGCAACGTCCTTGCAGATGGCCAATTCTCTCACACCAGAAGCGACTTGCAGTTTCTCAAGTCGCTCCTGACACGACAATAAATAAATAAAATTATTCACCATTGGCTACTGAAGTTGCCATTCAAAAACATCTGGAGGGTGCACGATCTCCATCTCTGCTTTGCAGTGATATTCTATATAAGTCTACTCATAAGTAAACCTCAGTGAGATCAATGGATTTATATAGTCAGAATAGTGTGCTTAGGACTGTAGCTTAAATGTTGATTTTTATGTATGTTCAGAAATCTCTGTGTATTACTTTTAAGTAATGTGATTCAGCACAAAGGAAGTAACATTGTACGAACAAACAACAGGAAATGTGTTTTTAATGATGGGAATATGAGAATAAAATAGGATTCGAGAAATGGCCCCAAGGAGGCAACCAAGTAAACCAAGGAATTTTGGTTAGCACAGGATACGGATAGTGTATCATATGCAAAACCGGATGATCTAGGGACAGATATTACAATCACACAACGCATAAACATGTAATCAATGTTGTTATCTGACCAACAATTGTGGTTGTTAATTGAGACATGTGTTTCAGATGTAACAAGACAGAGAAGTTTTCAAGACTTTGAATTGGATCTTTGTGTTTAAAAATAGAACTTTTTCATTTATGGGGTTCTTAACCACATCACATCTATCTTTTTGTCATAAAAAAAGACATGAAATAAAAAAAATGTGATGCTCATTATTGTAATTAAGAATGGAAGGAAATGTACTGGCATATATATGCAACTACTGATAATTTTGGTTTGCATCACTGCTGTATTGCATCAGAAAATCAGATAGAATTGTAAGTCAGTCTAACCATGATTTTTGCCCTAAGGCTTGCTCTCTGGATTTCTGAGGAACATGTGCAGAACATTTTTGCTACATCACTGACTGCTTTTAAAGAAGTTGAGTTTTTAGTGTATAATTCATTGGCTGAAACGAATAGTTCAAGCCACATGCTTCTTTATTTATCTTTAGATTCTTGGAAGAAGAGACCACCAAGTGGCTTGAACTCTTTGAAGGCAGTGGTGTCCCATATGGCCCAATCAACAGCATGAAACAGGTGTTTGCCGATTCTCAGGTCAGTCTTTTTGGATGTATTTAAATATAGTGTTGGCTTAAAGGTACTGAAGGTATGACGCCTTTTTCATACATCCAACTCTTTTTGATGTTATCATACAAGTAATTTTGACCATTGATTATGATAAAACCACCTGCAGAGTATGTTGGCATTTTCAACATCAGATCTTGGGAAGAATTGATTCTTTTATGGTGCCCACATGGTTTGTCAATGTCAGGCCTTGAATCACATCCTGCCTACAATTTAGCAGTCCAAACAGAACCATGCTTTGCAGTCTCTGGAGTGATTTAGGACCTCATCACATGTAGGAATTTCCTCGTATCTACACATTTTTAAAACAAAGCTCCACAATGATGATCACATGACACAAAGATACTTCCAGGGGTTGCTTATTGGTCCCCTTTTTTAATTTCATAATAATACCGAGTTTTGAGAGTCAGATCTCTATCAGCTCCAATTGTCTCAATGTGCGTGGAAGCAACAAAACACAGGAAGTCTGACTTGGCCACGGGGGCGTTTGGTGGGGACAAGGGACAGGACCTTTTCTGTGGACAGGCCTGTAGCCGGGGGGGGGGGTGGGTGGGGTTCAACCCCCCCCCCCAAAATTTTCAGGTAAAAAAAAATGGTTTACTCATGAATTTTAACTGGTTTATTTATTTATTTATTTATTTATTTATTTATTTACAGATTTTATATTCCGCCCTTCTCACCCCGCAGGGGACTCAGGGCGGATCACAGTGTACACATATATGGCAAAAGTTCAATGCCAATATACAGACATATACAGACATAGACAGAGGCTATTTAACTTTTTCTGGCCGCCAGGGGAGCTGTCGCTTTCATCGTCCATCTACGACACTGATGAAGTACTTCCGCATTCCCCGCATGCTTTTTGCTGGAGTGCTTGCTGGAGTCTTTTTTTATGGCCTCATAAATTAGTTAATTTAGCCTCCCCACACTTTAAGGTGGTACCTAATTTTCCTACTTGACAGATGCAACTGTCTTTCGGGTTGCAAAGGTCGACAACAGGCTACACAATTGGTTGGAAGCCCACTCCAACCCGGGCTGGCTTCGAACTCATGACCTTTTGGTCAGAGTGATCTTAATGCAGCTGACACTCAGCCAGCTGTGCCACAATCCCTGGTTAACCAAATCCCTATGCTAAGTCTATGTGACACAAAAATTAAGAGTCTCTCCAGAACTGCAATCACTATTTCAAGCAAATATTGACCATTTATTCACACTGTCATTACTTGCAGCAATAGCCAATGTAGCGAAACAACCAAGTTGGGGGGGTGGGTGTTGAATGCTCTCATTAAGGAGGCCAGACTTGGTGGAGGTGGTTGACAGGGGCAGAGCTGCGGACTATTGAAGGCTGCTCTGCCCCCTGCTGTGCTCTTTGCTTCAGCATGAGCTAGGAGGCAGGGTTCAACCCCCCCCCTTGCAAAATTTTCAACCCCCCTCCCCAAATTTTCAACCCCTCCCAAAAAGAAATTCTGGCTATGGCCCTGTCTGTGGAACTCCCTCCCAAGTGAAATTAGATCTTCTACATCCCTCTTGACCTTTCAGAAACAAGTGAAATCCTGGCTATGGGATCAGGACTTTGTAGATTAGGTTGACCTGCTGACATGACGGCTTTTATGGAACTAACTGACTGCTCCTTGGACAATGACGTAAACCGGCGACTGTTGACTGTTTGATTGTGTTTTCTACTGTTTTATTGCTATATTGTTATTTAAATTGTATGTTTATGTTTTGGTTATGGGGACCATGGGGTGCCAGTCTGTTATCCATCCTGAGTCCCTCTGCAGAGGTCGAGATAGGACGGGGCACAAATGACCTAAATAAACAAACTGTTGGGAGTTTTCTGAGTAATACCATTTTATATTTGTGGGCAGTCTTTACTCTTTCCCTCAATTTCTCTCTTGCCGCCATTACTCTGTGAGGACTAATCCTTTGAATGAAAGTTTTCCTTTATTTTTAAGGATATTCAGAAATTACTCAGTGTTTATTACTCAATGCATTGATATTATCCTCTTTCCTTTAGAAGTAATTCTCCTTTTGAAATAATTTTCAATTTTTGATGTAGTTTTGAAGTAATTTATGAGGTATATACCATGTGTGTACACTTCAATAGAGAAACAGCCATTTTGGGGGAATGTTTCAGTAGGGAAACATCCAGAATGGCAGCAGCACTTTTTCTTGTTATTTTTCTGTCTTCCTCTGCAAATCACATTTTTTTTCTTTGCTGAGAAATCTCGTTTCTCAAAACTCGCAAGGTTTCATAGTTCCAGTTTTGCCAATGGGTCTTTTGTTTTGTTTTTGTTTTTTAAAAAAGGGGGGAAGTGAGATGGGTGAGGACTCCACTTCTTTGTGTGTTGGCAAATGAAGCAGGGGGTTGTGAATGGGACGGATAGATGTAATTAGTTCAGCGGGTGGCAGCCAGATTAGTCACCGGAGCATCATACAGGAAACATACCACCCCTCTGTTATGTCAGCTCCACTGGCTGCCGATCCAGTTCCGAGCACAATTCAGAGTGCTGGTTTTGACCTACAAAACCCTATACGGCTCCGGCCCAGCATACCTGTCCTAAAGTATCTCCTTCTATGTCCCACCTCGGAGTTTGAGATCTTCTGAGGAGGCCCTGCTCTCGATCCCACCTCTATCACAAGTGAGATTGGTGGGGACGAGGAGCAGGACCTTCTCGGTGGTGGCCGCTCACCTGTGAAATTCACTCCCCTGGGAAATTAGGTCATCGGCATCCCTCCTCTCTTTCAGAAGGAAATTAAAAACATGGTTACGGGACCAGGCTCTTGGGCAATCTGGTGGTTAGATAAGGACAATGATGACCAGAACCGAGAGTACTTGACAATGTGGAACGAATTTACGGACTATGAGATGACGAACGCTGAGCATTAGATTGTTTTTATTGATTTTAATGTATGGACTAACTGTCTTAATTGTTACAACAATGTTTTATCCATTGTTATGTTTATGTTGGCATCGAATTGTGCCTTTTGTAAGCCGCCCTGAGTCCTCCCTCGGGGGTTGAGAAGGGCGGGGTAGAAATGCGTGAAATAAATAAATAAATAGGGGAGACAAAATTCTCCATTTTATTAAAACATGGGCTACCACTAAACACTATGGTAAGGTCTGGTTCAACCTGCATTATTTATCTAATGTGATGAGATCCTTGATCTCTGCGGATCTGAAACCACAATTCTGCATCGATAGCATGACTTCTGGATATTCCTGAATAATTATCATACTTTACCTATGAAACTTTATCTGTGAAGATATGGCAGAAAAGAGTGTTGGAAACCAATATTTTTGATGTGTTTTTGCATCAGTAAGACTTGGCTATCTTAAAAGCCGGTGTGCTTTTTCCTAGTACATGATGAGTTGCATGACTTTAATGCTAAATTATTTCATTTTCACCAATGAGTAAATTTTCAGTGATTAAATTACTGTAATGAAATGCTGAAGCCATTCATAACTGCGAAGTGGTACAGTGATAGCTTTTTTTATCTGTGTATCATGTATATATTCAAAAGGACAGTAAAGAAATGTTTGATGAAAATATGCAAAAGGTTGGTCTGTAGTACATCAGAATGGGAGTGTTAATAGTCAACACACTGTATTTTGAGGAATGAGGCAACACAAGTGCTGACATTGCGTATAGTCAGTAGGAAAGCCAATTTTCTCACTTTGGAATTTTCATAGGGATTTAGCCTGGGGTTTTGATCACTTATAGGAAGTTTATTTTACAAGTTTTTTGTTAGTGGTTTATACACACGATGGTACTAAAAGAGTGATAATACATATGTTCAAAGGGGTGCAAAAAATAAACATTTGTAACACTGTGAAAGATGATATTTAAAGATCATACTGGGAGGAGGACTGGGTCTTTCAAGTGGAGTTTCAAGAGTTCCCATGAAAAATGGATGTGTAAAACATGTTAACTTTCTTTACTGGGTTGCTTTTGTTGTGGTCTGTATCAACATCTAGGTTTTATATTAATGTCTTGGCTTTTATATAAAGAATCTTGATTTCCTCTCCATCATTCCTCTTTTTTACATCAGAAAAGTTCTCTGTGACAAAAAGCTTTTCCAGCAAATGATAATATACATATATTTAAGGCTAAGTCTGCTCTTTGTGACAAGGAAACATATGTGTACCATATTATCCAAATAAAATAACAATGTTTATATGGTCTATTATTTGAAATAAACATGTCCCCTTCTTAAGTTCAGATATATCATCAAATTGTTGTTTTTAATTACACTTGGCGGACCATTATGCACGTGTGGATCATAATGACGGATCTGAACTTTTTCCTTGCCTGAAATACCTTTTCCTTGCCTCCTTACTTTCTGCCCCATTGCGTTGGACCAGGCTTACTGCCACTTGTCTGAGTGTGCAGCTGCAGCTATGCTCTTAAAATATTCTGGTTGGAATAAGTGTGTGATCTAATGTCACATTAGATTGGGTATTTTTTAGGAAATACATTTCTACTACAATATTTACAAAAATAAACCTCAGTACAGGCCCGTAGCCAGGATTTCGATTCGGGGGGGGGGGGGGGAGTTTTTTTCAGGGGGGTTTTTGGGGGGGGGTGAGTTTCAGGGGGCTGAGTCTGAGTGAAAGAGGGTCTACCCTAGCAAACCTTTTGTATCGTTACCCCAATACCCCCATGCATATGGGATATATTGAGTATGGTGATCAGATCATGATATGAATAAACATAAACGTTTAAATAATGCACCAGTAAGGCCTTTTCGCGAACCACCATGACGCTACATGCCTGCCCCAGTACATACTGGGTTATATCATTCTGAATTGTGAAAGAAATGGAAAGTGTCCGGTGAGGGGGAACATATTCCACTAATCTATCCTTATATTAATGTTTACAGTTATTTCTACATCAACAAGCTCTTATACTGCAGAGCCTAACTATCTTTAAAAATTTAGGGAATATTTCTTGTGATTTAATGTGAAA